TGCATTGGAAGCTCTAACTTAGTGGATCACTGAACAAAATGGACACACTTGGTAGATTTGGCATCAAAAGAGACTTCAAGAATGCTGATACCCTTTCCCAGAGTGATAAAAGCATAGAAAATCAGCAGCTGATAAGGAGCAGATCAGGATGCCATCGCCCAGCAGAGATAGAGCTTGCTGTAAGAAACCCACGCACAGGCGGGCACAGAACATTCCCACACTATCAGCAAGGTAGGAGGACTGTGCCATGAAAACTAGGGACTTGCCAAGCATTGCAAGGCATCTTTCACTGCAACCCTTGGGCTTGGTTTACATATCACATACTGACAATTAACTCTTTCACATTGAAATCTAACAGGTTAACACAAGCCAAGCAAGGGGCTGAGCAATAAAAACCAGAGAAATATTTAGAACTTAGAACTGACTCAGAAAAATGACAGCTGTCATCTGATTGCTATGCACAGCACAGGCACTCTTCAATCCCGGAGTAGAAGATCCAAAATAATCTGCAATACCAACAGGTCACCTTTGACTCCACAGTTGTCACAGAGCCGCAAGTGCAAACATTCCAAAGTCCGCAGCCTTGTATATTGTGATTGTTCCACCTTGTGCTGCATCTCCGCAGACGAGGGAATAAAGGATCAAAAGGTCCACAAATGGCTGCCAGATTCTTGTTTTACTTTTTTGAAAACATGAACTGTGATTAGTTTCCACAGTAAACAATTCCGCTGATATCGTTTTCTCCAAGCAGCCTAATGATTGAAATACTGCCGATTGTATTAAAGTGTTAAAGTTCATCTCAGCATCCCAAAAAGGTTGATACAAAAAAAGATTTAAATATACTCATGCAGTCCATTAACCCTGTGCGATGTTTGCAAGGGATCCTTATTCCACATTTTAGATCTGTTTTGGCACTTTAGTGGTCACCCATTCTACAGCCATGTGGGTCAATTAGACCCGATTCACACTTGTGCAGCTTGTCATGCGATTTTGGACATCAAAGTAGCACAACAAGTCGTGTCTCATGTTTTCCAATGATAACCATTCACATACGTGCGACTTAAAGTTGCAGTGACTTCAAAGAAGTTCATGTACTACTTTGGTCCACTTTTAATACAGCTTGAAGGCTATAGACTCCAATGGTAACCCTCAAGAGTTGTATGAAAGTCATACCTGAATGTTTTACATGCAACAGTGGGTCTGACTCTGCAGAGGGACAACACATCCAAGTGGCACCCATCAAAGGTGCACTCCAAAGTCATGCAACTTTAGAGTTGTACAAATGTGAATGGAGCCTAAAATTGAACTTTTATACATGCCCTACATATATGTCCTTCCTTGGTCTTATTATTACAAGTACATTCCATGAGGACAGTTTAAAGTGTTACTAAACCCAGGACCCTGCATTCACTATATCCACTCTCCCCGGACCCTGCATTCACTATATCCGGTCTCCCCAGACCCCGCATTCACTATATCCGGTCTCCCCGGACCCGCATTCACTATATGCGGTCTCCACAGACCCTGCATTCACTATATGCGGTCTCCACAGACCCCGCATATCACTATATCCAATCTCCCTGGACCCTGCATTCACTATATCTGGTCTCCCCGGACCCCGCATTCACTATATCCGGTCTCCCCGGACCCTGCATTCACTATATCCGGTCTCCCCAGACCCCGCATTCACTATATGCGGTCTCCACAGACCCTGCATTCACTATATCCGGTCTCCCTGGACCCCGCATTCACTATACCCAGTCTCCCCGGACCCCGCATTCACTATATCCGGTCTCCCCGGACCCTGCATTCACTATATCCGGTCTCCCCGGACCCTGCATTCACTATATCCGGTCTCCCCGGACCCTGCATTCACTATCTCCAATCTCACTGGACCCTGCATTCACTATATCCGGTCTACCCAGACCCCGCATTCACTATATCCGGTCTCTACCCAGACCCCGCATTCACTATATCAGACCCCGCATTCACTATATCCGGTCTCTCAGGACCCTGCATTCACTATATCCGGTCTCCCCGGACCCCGCATTCACTATATCTGGTCTCCCCGGACCCCGCATTCACTATATCTGGTCTCCCCGGACCCTGCATTCACTATATCTGGTCTCCCCGGACCCCGCATTCACTATATCTGGTCTCCCCGGACCCCGCATTCACTATATCTGGTCTCCCACGGACCCCGCATTCACTATATCTGGTCTCCCGGACCCCGCATTCACTATATCTGGTCTCCCCGGACCCCGCATTCACTATATCTGGTCTCCACGGACCCCGCATTCACTATATCTGGTCTCCACGGACCCTGCATTCACTATATCTGGTCTCCCGGACCCTGCATTCACTATATCCGGTCTCCACAGGACCCCGCATTCACTATATCCGGTCTCCACGGACCCTGCATTCACTATATCTGGTCTCCCCGGACCCTGCATTCACTATATCTGGTCTCCCCGGACCCTGCATTCACTATATCCGGTCTCCACGGACCCTGCATTCACTATATCTGGTCTCCCCTGGACCCTGCATTCACTATATCTGGTCTCCCTGGACCCTGCATTCACTATATCCGGTCTCCCCGGACTCTGCATTCACTATATCCGCTCTCCTCGGACCCCGCATTCACAATATCTGGTCTCCCACAGTACACCGAACATGGAAATGCAATTGTTTCAGTAAATATAAACAGCTAAATACCTTTTCTCGCCACAGTATATAGCAGTCTTGTGACTTCTATCAGTGTCCAGCACAGCACTGGTTATAGCTTGTAGGAGTTTTCATTCTCCCCTGATTGTCTTATGAGGCTACATGACACCTGATCCTCTGTCTGGACAGTGCTGATCACATGCACTCTCCCAAGAAAAAGAAAAAAAAAAAACTCTAGCAATACACACCAAACTGAGCATGTGCAGCTTGCCCCCAATGCTCTGTTCCTTTTAGCAGATGGATTGGGGACTGTGGAAAAAGGGGAGTATCAGAGAAGATAGGCTCAACCAGCCTTTTTACCTTTTCTCATCAGCAGTTATAGCAGTCTTGTGACTTCTATCCGTGTCCAGTAGAGCACTGGTTAAAGCTTGTAGGAGGCGTTTTTATTCTCCCCTGATTGTCTTAGGAGTCTACATGACCCCCTGACCCTCTGTCTGGACAGCGCTGATTGGCCCTGTGCTGATCACATGCACTCTCCCAAGGAAAAAAAACTCTCTAGCAATATACACCAAACTGAGCATGTGCAGCTTGCCCTCAAGGCTCTATTCTATCAGCAGATAGATTGGGGACTGAGGAAAAAGGGGAGGATCTGAGAAGACCGGATCAAACATCCTTTTTACACAATGCAGAGGATTAACCCCTTAGGTTCCACAGTGAGTATAACAAGCATGCTTTACTGCACATACAGACTGATTTTACTGTTGTGGGTTAGTAACACTTTAAAGGCAAAACTTTTTTTTAGTTTCAATAGAGTGAAGAGGGATTAGATTGCCAGTCAGGTTTTTTATTGCTGTCTGTGTCCCCATTAAGGAGATACACCCTTCTCTATTTATCCTGTTTACCACTGTTGAGCCCTGGTTCACACCGATGAGGTGCGGAATTTACAGTGTTTTCAGTGCGAATTCGGCACCACATCAGAATCTGTGTGGTCCTCACCAATCAATGGAGGGCGAGTGTGGAGACATCATGCTATAATCTAAAAAAACCAACAACCCTGATGGGGCTCTGCTGGGCCTGATAAATAACTAGTCGCCAACCCCCCCTAGTCACGTGACCAACCTATATCATAATTAACAAAGCCCCCTTAAGCCCTGGTTCACACTGATGCGGTGCGGAATTCACCATATCAGAGTCGCACCCCATTCATGCGAACCGTTGCAGGTGTGTATGTTAACCCCCCCCCCCCCGAAAGCGGTCTGCAAAGCGCAGTGTGATGTGCAGAATCGGATCACATGGGTGTGAATACCTATGCGATCTGATTCTAGTGCGGACCCAAAAAAGGGTCCTGCAGGTTTTTGTGGTGTGGGTGCGGTGTGAATAGAGCCATGCAAGATGTATGGCTCCAATCGCATCGCACAAAAAATTGCATGTGATTAGCACAGGAATGTGGTGCGGTTCCTGTGCGAATCACATGTGATGTACTGTTTTGCCTTTAAAGTGTTACTAAACCCACTACAGTAAAATCTGTCTGTATATGCAGTAAAGTGAATTCCACACCACATCAGTGTGAACCAGGGCTGGAAAAAAGAAATAAATAATGATCCAATTGTGGAAGAGGGAGGGGGCTGGGGCAAGGTGCAAACAATTTGTTTTTTGGAGTGAAGGTCTAGTTTAGCTCTCGCCTACAGATGTCCTTGCGGCTCTTCCAGCTTAGCCTTGCTGGGTATACATGAGGACATACAGATGCCTCATCACACTCACCTATCAATTTCATACTCCTTGTACTATGCGAAGAAAGAAATCCTTCTTCACTGGAAAAACTTCTCTACCGCCTACAATGTCCTCCAGGGAATCCTCCCAACTACACTGTTCTACCTATGTATAAACGGATAGATCAGGAGGAACTGTCAGATGCAATCTGGTAAGGTTTGATTGTCATGGACCGTACAATATAGAACCATACCTTCTTTTTTATTTCTTAACCCACTATCCTCCCTACCGTCCTTTTCATAGTCCCACCTTATTCCCCCCCCTCCTTTCCTTCTTTACCCTTTTTCACTTCTGCTCTCCAACCCCACTACCCAAGCCAAGACTTTGTGTTACCTGTAGTAATTGTTGTAGTGTAACAACACTATCATCAGTCCCACCCCTCACACCAGGATACTAGGTGTCATCCTAGACGCCAATCTGTCCTTTCAGCCCCAGGTCCAATCGCTGACAAACTCATGTAGACTTCACCTCCACAACATCTCCAAGATACGGCCGTTCCTAACCCCGGAAACCACTGAGCAACTCATTCACTCCCTTGTTATCCCTCGCCTTGACTATTGTAACTCCCTCCTCACTGGCCTACCTCATCGCAGGCTATCCCCTATTCAGTCTCTCATGAATGCTGCTGCCAGATTCATCCACCTTACTAACCGTTCTGTATCTGCCACCCCTCTCTGCCAATCCCTCCACTGGCCTCCACTCAGTGTTCTCCACCCCTCTCTGCCTATCCCTCCACCACTCTGTCCTCCACCCTCTCTGCTAATCCCTCCACTGGCCTCCACTCAGTGTCCTCCACCCCTCTCTGCCTATCCCTTCACTGGCCTCCACCCCTCTCTGCTAATCCCTCCACTGGCCTCCACTCAGTGTCCTCCACCCCTCTCTGTCAATCCCTCCACTGGCTCCCAATTGCCAAACAGATAAAATTCTAAACACTAACACTGACGTATAAAGCCGTTCATAACACTGCCCCTAATTACATCACCGATCTTGTCTCTAAATATCACCCAAACCGTACTCTCCGCTCCTCGCAAGACCTTCTACTCTCTAGCTCCCTTGTGTCCTCCTCCCATGCCCATCTCCAGGATTTCTCAAGGGCTTCACCCATCCTCTGGAACTCCCTACCCCAATCTATCAGGCTATCGCCAAGTCTGCTCACTTTTAGGCGCACTCTGAAAACCCATCTCTTCAGGGAAGCCTACCCTGACCTCAGCTAATACTGGAATCCTCTACTCTTCCTACCACTCCATCCCCCACAGCTAATTACCTCTTGTACCACTATCCCCTCCCTCCTAGATTGTAAGCTCCAAGGATCAGGGCCCTCCTATCCCTCTTGTATTGAACTGTATTGTTGCTGTACTGTCTCCCTCCATAATGTAAAGCGCTGAGCAAACTGTCAGCGCTATAGAAGTCCTGTATAATAATAATAATTCACCTACACCTTCTGGGACCTTTCTAGCAGCTGGCAAACAGAGTGATGCCAGCAAAAGCTGGGAGAGGAAAAGAAGGTCAGGGTAGTAAACACATACACAGCACTTTTGCCAGGCATATTGGTACCTATAAAAAAGTTAATAACCATTAGGCTGCTTTCACACTGATCCACGGGTGCAGTGCTGCGGCACTGTTGTAGCGTCAAGGGTCACAATGGTGACCTCGCCCCATCTTTCGGGGGGCCCGTGCAGCCTCCCTTCCGTATTCTGTTTTACACTTGGACAGGAGGGGTGGCAGGGGCAGCATATACAGGAACGGATCCTCAGCATTTCCCTTTTGTAACAGCTGAAAGCTGGCTATTCCTTTTCTCCCGCCTGCTGGCATTCAGCAGCTGCAGGAGGAAAATGTTCACTATGCTATTCAAAATATAAAATTTTAAATTCTGAACCATTTCATTTCATTGTGGCCCATGACATTACCAAACCACATAAGTGGCCCTCGCTCTTCAAAAGGTTGAGCACCCCCTGATCTACACCAACTGTACAACAAAACAATTCCACCATATAGACGTATATCGTCTGAATCGTCCCTCCTAGATTGTAAGCTCCAAGGATCAGGTCCTCCTATCCCTCGTGTATTGAATTGTATTGTTACTGTATTGTCTCCCTCCATAATGTAAAGTGCTGAGCAAACTGTCGGCGCTATATAAGTCCTGTATAATAATAATAATTCACCTACCAGGGGGGACTGACAACTCATGGGGCCCCCGGGCAATAGGGGATCATGGGGCCCCTGTATCCTTGCCCAAACTCAAAAAAGCCTATGAAAAGGTACCAGGGGTATCTCATGGGGCCCCCTACTGACCCCGGGCCCCGGGCATGGTTTCCAAATGGTCAGTCCGCCCGTCACCTACACTTTCTGGAGCAATACAAATAGAAAAATATGTCATGGATTGAACCTTTGTACAGCAAGTCCTCGTGCACACAGGGCATTTTTACAGCGGCTGTTTTTGGCTTTTGGTGTTTATTTTCTACAGCCAGCAAACTCCCCAGCATGTTATCCTATGTGTCCATGCACACAGATGCTGTAATCAACGTTTTTTGGCAGGGACATTTTTGGGTGGAAAAAGAACTCAGAACTAGTGGGTTTCTAGAGGAGTTTTTTAGCTGTAAAAATGCTCTAAAAACACGGTAAAACGCCGCAAAGCAACGTTTTTGATTTTTTTTTACCTAAAAAAAAAAATGGTAAAAACGCGGCAAACCAGCATTTTTTTGGACATTTTTGAGGAAAATTTGGGGGGGGGGGGCTTGGTAAAAACTGCAAACGTGTGGAAAAACGCAGCTAAACGCTAATGCAAAAACACTGAAAAACTCATTTTAAATGTGACTTTACACAGCTAACGCTACCAGTGTTATTAAAGTGCCCCCAGTGTGCATGGAGCCTAATAAGTATGCCATATACAACAAATAAAGAAATCCTACAATAAAGAAATACCAGTCTGGAGTACAAACCAGCAACTCTATTGTGATCTAAAAGGTTTCGGGTAGAAAAAAGAACACAAAACAAACATACTTCCCTGCAATGGTTTTGCACAGATCAGTCCCGATGCTTCTCTTCTTCGGTCCCCCGCCAGTGTCCCTGGCTCCTTCCCCCTGCCAAGTGCCCCCATTGCATGCTGCTTGCTTGCTCCTGAACTGCCTCTATGTGTCCATAAGACATACAGAGCGCAGCTCAGCCCCTCCCCTGTTCCATCCTCAATGACTGTGATTGACAGCAGCCGAAGCCAATAGCTCCTGCGGCTGTCTCTAAGCCGATTAGAAGTGAGAGAGCCTCAGCTCTCATGCACATCTCTGGATCGAGATTAGCTCAGGTAATTTAGGGGGGCTGTGGGGAATTGCTGCACTTGGGTTTTTTACCTCAATGCTTCTTCTACCCTTGCAACCACTTTAAAGGGGTTATAAAGGTAAATCATTTTTTGCCATAAAGCGGAACTTTACATATAACAACTTGATAAAAAAAATAATGTCCTTTAGCAAGGAACATACATTCCACATTAGTAATTCTGCTACCAAAACTAGTGTGTGCTGCAAATTGCCTCCAACATTGCTCCTTCTTCTTGCTGAAGGCTGCCATTTTGATGAAGCCCAGAGCCCTGAGCAGCAGTAAATCTTTAGACTGTCAGAAGATTGGCCTCTAGTGGCTCTGATTTTAGGCACCGTGCAGAAAAAGTGAGAGCAATTGAGCATGTGCAGGGCTGGGGGAGACAGTGCATTACTGGATTTTATACAGTATATCCACTTATTTGTAATGTTTTACATAGCAATACCTGCAAAAGGGGCCAGCCTGATGTGATCTATCTGGACTTAATTTTCTGACTAAAGTTCTACTTGAATGCATTATCTGCATTAAAAGGTAAAAAATGTCCCACAGCCTGTTTCTATATCCCCCCCCCCCCCCCCTCGACTTAATATTTGCCTAAGCCCTCTCTCTATCCAGCGCTGTGCCAGCTTGCGGCAGCACTGGTCTCCCAAAACAGATTGAGAACAGCAAGAACCATTGGCTCCTGCTGCTCTGAATCAAATCCAGTGAGGATGTGGGGTTGGGGCTGATCCGCGCTGTGCGTCTGACAGGTCGGCTCAGGAGAGAGCACGCACCTATGCCCCCATAGTAATCTTGCTATGGGGGCACACACAGGAGGGGGGAGCATGAGGGGACACCAAATACTATTACACAGAGCAGGTAAGTATAACATGTTTTTTTTCTAGGGAAAAAACAGCCTTTACAAACACTTTAACGTAGAAATAAAGCCAAAACTTTTATTTTCATTTTGAATAGAATAGGGGAGGGGAGGGTTATAACCCCTGTCAGGGTTTTCCTGTCATTGGGAAGACAGGTGTGATGAAATCCCTTGTTGTCGCCATAACTAATGTGTAAGGTAAAGTCTACGGGCTTGGAAAATTTGTATGTAAATGGGTAGAAGACTGGCTTAAAGATCGTATTCAGAGAGTAGTGGTTAATGATTCATAATCTGAATGGTCTGGGGTTGTCAGTGGTGTACCCCAAGATTCAGTGTTGGGACCCTTACTTTGTAATACATTTATAAACAATATCGGGTCTGGGATTATAAATCCCATTTCAGTCTTTGCTGATGACACCAAGCTGTGCAGTGGAATAACGTCCTTACAGGATGTCTCCAATTTACAAGCCGACCTCAATGCTCTGTTTATTTGGGAAACTATGTGGCAAATCTGGAATATACAGTTCAGTTTTGGGCACCAATTCACAAAAAGAACATTGGGGAACTGGAGATAGTACAGAGAAGGGCAACCAAACTGATAAGAGGCATGGAGGAGATCAGATATGAGGAAAGATTAGAGGAACTGAATTTATTCAGAAGTAGATTAAGGGGGGAATTTATCTCCATGTATAATACATAAGGGGGGATATGATCTCCATGTATAATACATAAGGGGGATATGATCACCATGTATAATACATAAGGGGGGATATGATCTCCATGTAGAATACATAAGGGGGGATATGATCTCCATGTATAATACATAAGGGGGGATATGATCTCCATGTAGAATACATAAGGGGGGATATGATCTCCATGTAGAATACATAAGGGGGGGATATGATCTCCATGTAGAATACATAAGGGGGGGATATGATCTCCATGTATAATACATAAGGGGGGATATGATCTCCATGTATAATACATAAGGGGGGGATATGATCTCCATGTATAATACATAAGGGGGGATATGATCTCCATGTATAATATAAGGGGGGATACATGTATAATACATAAGGGGGATATGATCTCCATGTATAATACATAAGGGGGGATATGATCTCCATGTATAATACATAAGGGGGGATATGATCTCCATGTATAATACATAAGGGGGATATGATCTCCATGTATAATACATAAGGGGGGATATGATCTCCATGTATAATACATAAGGGGGGATATGACCTCCATGTATAATACATAAGGGGGGATATGACCTCCATGTATAATACAGAACAGTAAAAAGAGAAAATCTTCCACTGTAGACACTGGTTACATAGTCTGGCTGAAAAAAGACAAAAGTCCATCCAGTTCAACTATACAAAAAAAAGTTTTATAATCCTATACCCACAGTTGATCCAGAGGAAGGCAAAAAAAACCCAGCAAAGCATGGTCCAATTTGCTCCTGCAGGAAAAAAAAATTCTTTCCTGATCCCCGGAGAGGCAATCGGATATTCCCTGGATCAACTTTACCTATAAATGTTAGTATCCAGTTATATTCTGTGTATCTAAGAAAGAATCCAGGACTTTTTTAAATCAATCCACTGAGCTGGCCAGAACCAACTCTTGAGGGAGTCTATTCCACATTTTCACAGCTCTTACTCTGAAGAAACCTTTCCGTGTTTGGAGATTACATTTCTTTTCCTCCAGACGTAAAGAGTGCCCCCTTGTCCTCTG